TTCAAGAATGGGTTTCTGTGTGTAACGGCCCTGGGTGTCCTGAAACTTGCTCTGCAGACCAGGCTGGCCTTGAACTCACACAGATCCGCCTGCCTCTGCCTCCAGAGTGCTGGGATTAAAGGCGTGCGCCACCAATGCGCCGCTTCTTTACTCATTTTTTTAAAAGATGTACTTATGTTACCTGTGTTTTGTTTGCATGTCTATCTCTATACTTCATGCATGCAGTGCCCATAGAGGCCAGAAGAGAGTATGGGATCCCCTGGAACTGGAGACAGTTGTTAGCAACCATGTGGGTGCTGACAATAGAGGCCAAGTCCTCTGGAAGACCAGCCAGTGCTCTTGACTACTGAGACATCTCTCCAGACTAAGCTGGAGTCCTTCAAATGCCTCCCTAGGCTAGGCATGACAGTGCACACCAGGAATAATACCATTTGGGAGGCTAAGGCAGGGTTGCCTGCTTGAGGCCTGCCTAGCTACATAGCAAGTTCCAGTCCAGCATGGGTTATATAACAAAAATATCTCAAAAAATGGGCAAACCCAAAACAAAATCTAGATTGACTACTACCATTATCAGGACCTAGAGAAAGTGGCTAAACTACTTCAAACAACACTCAAATGACTACCATTCCGAGCAGCACTGAGGTCAAGACACGCATGTTCTACTAGATTAGATAGCTGGCCAGGCCATTTAGGCCGCACTACTGTCTCCCCAGTTTCACTTTACTCTTTTATTTGTCTCTTGATGGCAAAAGCAATGCTTGATCTTAGCTATAAAGACAATAGATTAGGAGCCATCTAAAAGAATTAAGAAGGGCTGGGGAGATGGCTCAGCAGTTAGCAGCACTGGCTGCTCTTCCACAGGACCTGGATTTGACTTCCAGCACCCACATAGCAGTTCACAGTTGTCTAACTCCAGTTCCAGGGAATACAATGCCATCTTCAGGCCTCCACAGGAACCAGGTACAAAAGTGGTACACAAACATCTATTTAGTCCCAGCACTTGGGAAGCAGAGGCAGGCGATCTCTTGAGTTCAAGGCCACCCTGGTCTACACAAGAGTTCCAGGTTTCCAAGTCAGCCAAGGCTACACAGAGAAACCCTGTCTCAGGGGGAAAAAGGGGAAGCGAAAGAGACAGATGCGCAGACATGCATACATTAAAAGACCCATATGCATAAAATAAATAAAATTAAAGAAAAAAAAGCAAATAAGAAAACAAGGCTGAAGAGATGTCTCATCGATTAAGAGCACTGGCTGTTCTTTTTTTTTTCCCAGACAGGGTTTCTCTGTGTAGCTTTGTAGACCAGGCTGGCCTTGAACTCACAGAGATCCACCTGCCTCTGCCTCCCAAGTGCTGGGACTAAAGGGGTACGCCACCACTACCCCAGGCACTAGCTGCTCTTGCAGAGGACCTGGGTTCAGTTTCCAGCAACCATGTGGCTGTGCACAACTCTCTGTAACTCCCACACTAGGGGATGTGAAGCCTTTTCTGACCGCCATGGGCTCTTGGATGCACATGGTGCATATAAATACATACACATAAAATATCTTTAAAGTAATAATAAAATAAAAGGATAAGGAAAATGCCCACCAGTGTCACGGAGATCATTAGCTTTGGTCCTGGCCCGGCTGGCTTTGGCACTGTCATTGCCATGTGGATCATCTTCATTTGTGAAGAGCATGATCCTCTTGTGACTCATCTTGACCTGGACGTCACTGAAGAGGTTGGCACAGACCCAGAGCACTTCACTTAAGGAGTAATCAGATCCATGGCCAATTGTGTCTTGGAAATGTTTTTTTCCCTGTTGTCCCTTAAACTGGTCAAGCTCTAGCACACGTTTAGCACCTGATATGAGTCAAAGTGGACAGAGAAACAAGACCATCAGCACCATCATCTCAGGCTAACAGAGGCCTCCTCACCCAACCACTATAAAACTAGCATGGAGGTCCAGCAGGGAATTTCTATGCAGGGCCATGATCAAAGCTGCTTCCTCTTTTGTTTCAGCTTAGTGATGTTCTTACACAAAAGAACCATGCTTGAGAATTACTGACCTGGGTTATCCAACTCTTGTAAGACATAAATATTTTTGAAATTCACTGAGTTTTTGTCTTTCTCGGTACCATAGAACACCACTCCCAAGAGATCTCGGTTGCTGCTTATGATCTTACTGGTGTACACACTCTGGATACACTGAAAATATAAAAATTCCGTGAGTGTTTACTTAACACTGAGCTTCTGTAAGTGCCAGGTATAGCAAGCACTTAGTATTTATGAGCTGGGGCTAGGGAATGGAACTCAGGTGGGAGAGTACTTGCCTGGTTTGCACAAAGCCATAGGTTCAATCCCAAGTGACACATAAACCAGGCGTGGTGGCACATGCCTGTCACCCCAGCACTTGGAAGGTGGAGGCAGGAGGCTGTAAGAGTGCTCCATCATAGCTGGGTGGTGGTGGTGCATGCCTTTATTCCCAACACTCAGGAGGCAGAGGCAGGCAGATCTCTGTGAGTTCCAGACCAGCCTGGTCTACAAGAGCTAGTTCCAGGACAGGCTCCTAAACAATACAGAGAAACCCTGTCTCGAAACCCGCCCCCCCCCAAAAAAAAGAGTGCCCCATCATGGTGGACTTATGAAGTTCTGGCGACTGAATGCATGACTTTATGCACGGTAGACATGTATTCTACCAACTGAGCTACATTCCCAGGACCCAGCACATAAAGAGCAGAACTACTATCCCAGCATTTGGGAGGCAGAGGCAGGTGGATCTCCATGAGTTCAAGGCCAGCCTGGTCTATAGAATGAATTCCAGGACAGCCAGGGATATTACACAAAGAAACCCTGTCTCAAAAAGTAGAATTATGGGCTGGAGAGATGGCTCAGAGGTTAAGGCAGGGGTACAAATTAAGTATGATCTCACCAAAAAGGAGATTCTAGACCCCACATGAGGCCTGTGGATGAGAAACAGCCTGACAGGCTGGGGACCAGTGTGGATACTATAAGCTTAAGCCAGTCAGTCAAGAGACAAAGGCTACTAGGGTTCTGAACTGATTACCAAATAGCGCCTTACCCACCCACATTCTGCTAATTGGGCTTCTTCCTATTTTTTGCTTTATTTTTTTGAGATAGGGTCCCACTATGCAGCCTAGGCTGTCCCGAAACCAGCTATATAGACCAGGCTGGTCTCAAACTTGGAGAGCTGCCTACCCTTGCCTCTTGAGTAATGGGATACAAGGCATGCACCACCATGCCCATCCCCAATTTTATGAGTTCAATAACCAGGCAGTCTTACCTGGATGCTCATATCAAAAGGTGTAACTTCATCTTCACCCTGAGAGTCAAACATAGCCCTGGAGGCATCAACCAGAAAAATCAAACTATCTCTTCCTGAATATTTATATTCTCCTATGGGGAAACAAATGGAATAAAAGTTTACCTTTTGCATCATACTTATTATGCTTATCACTCACACAAAACAAAGAGCCCACAGAGCAAAAGTGCATCCTGACAATCATTATACAGTGAACACAGATCCAGTCAGTACCAAGACAGCCAGGGCTATACAGAGAAACCCTGTCTCGAAAAACCAAAACAAATAAATAAATATAAAATAAAAATATTTTTTAATTATTTATTTGTATTTTATGTACATTGGTGTTTTTGCTTGCACATATGTCTGTGTGAGGGTGTTGGGTCCACTGGAACAGGAGTTACAGACAGTTGTGAGCTGCCATGTGGGTGCTGGGAGTTGAATCCAGGTCCTCTGGAACAACAGCCAGTGCTCTTAACCACTGAGCCATCTCTCCAGCCCAATAAAAATATTTTTAAAACAACCAAAAATATGTAAATAAAGTGACACAAATTATCACAGACATAATAACTGATTGGAGATTAATAGAAAAATCTACTAGTGACTAGTGAAAAATTTAGGGTTGTTCACAGATTGGAATAGGACCTGAATAGCTCTGCAAAACCCAAAGGGGGTGGGTAAATATTTTAGATTATCTGGGGGGAAAAGGAAGAACTATCAGACAGCAAAGTGCTCCCAGCAAAAAACGTAGACAGAGAAAAGTCTTCCACACAGACCACACTACATGATGAAGCTACTTACCACCTGGGTCAGGGCTCTCCTCCTCTTCTTCCTCTTCCTCACCCTCGGTTTTGTAGTAGGATTCCCACCCTGACATGTTGGTTTGCTCACTAGGTGAGAGAAATTATGAACAAATTTAAACAGAAAAAAATACTGAGGAAAGTAGCTGTGTCAGGTATTGTGCTACACAATAAATAGTGTCACTAATGAGGAATATGATTGGCGGCTCTTGCCACCTGGAGAGCTCGTGGTGCTTACAGGGAGCTGAGGAAATGAGCATGAGGATCATTCCAGCAGCAACATCCCCCGGCTATCTCTTAAGGAAGCTGCAGGACCAGAGTGGCTAGTGGTAGGGGGCGGGGTATAATGGAGCGGCCCAGCTCTGAAGGCCTCATCTCCAGCGCCAACTAGACTGGAGGGTACTTGGTGCTCCGGCGAAAACACTCGTCTTCATTTCTCCCCCACGTCTCCCCCACCCCTCAGCCAAGAACGCCCAGTTAAGTCTCAACCACTATGCCACATTCTGGGGAGAAAGGAGCAGGACCCACAGTGTGTCTCTTCGGACAGGCGCTTCTCTGCTGCGAAGCAAGGGGCCGCGCGACACTGAGGTGACAGGCCAGGCCACGTCAGGCCGCACCCAACACTCACAGTACAGCCAACCTTACCTTTGCAGCAGGTGAGCGAGCCAAAGGGACAGAAGGCGGGCACCACGTCCACGCGGGCTCCAGCTCTCTCTCCCAATCAAAGACGTATACGTCAGCACGCACAACACGCCCTTCTGTACGTCAAGCGGACACGCCCATCCCCAATCCCACACTTTCTCCCCTGTCCCTAAACTGGATCGCACGCGGGCAGGGAAAGCCCCGCCCCTCCCTTGAAGCCACGCCCCCGAAGCTCGTCAGCACCGAACGCACATGCGCGAAAGTGCGTCCCCGCCCCCGCTCCCGGTTCCGTGGGGAGTCTCTGCGATCTCTCTGTCACCTCACAGTAGTCGTTGCTGGTTGCGGGCGTGGGGGCGCGAGTAGCGCAGGGCGGCCTCTCCCCCGCCCTCAGGCCGGGCCCGGGCTCGGTCCCCCGCTCCCTCCTTTCCCCACCCCGGTCGGGTACCGGAAGGTCCAAGCCGCTGCCGGTGCCCGAGGGCCATCGTGGCCGCCGCCACGGGTCCTGATGGAGCCGCCGAATCTCTATCCGGTGAAGCTCTACGTGTACGACCTGTCCAAGGGCTTGGCCCGGCGGCTCAGCCCCATCATGCTGGGTGAGGGGGCCGGGGTCAGTGGGAAGAAGGCAGGTGGTCGCTTGCGGCGCCCTGCCAGGACGGGAAGAGGGGCCCACGGGTGAGAGTGGAGTGGGGTTCCCTGAGCCCCCTTTCCAGCTTCTTGATCGAATCCAAGGAGACACACACGTTCTCCTTGCAGGGCTCTGGCTGGGAGCAAGCCCTTCAGCTAGGCTCTAGGGTAAGCGGACTGATCTTGGCGGGTTCCCTGGCTTCTTGGGGGAACCCTTTACGCTCCTTACTTGGCTCAAAGTCGAGAAAGTGGGGATCCCTCCAGCGCGTGTTCCTGGTGGTGGAAGCAACACTGCAGAGGAGATTCTCTGATGGCCCTCGGAGTCACTGCCCTCCGCGCCAAACGGAAACTCCCTCTGCAGTCCATGGAGTAGATGGGAAGGGAATGCTCGAGCGGCAGAGGGCCTTAGCCCTCGCCCTGTTCCAATTTAGGTCAAATTAAGTCAACCGGAGCCAGAACTTGGAACTAATCACATTCTGTCCGACAATCCAGTCTTCGCTGGAGAGTTCATTGCTTTTGACCAGATGGTAAAAAATAATTCTGTGGGAGGCTGGGTTGTTGTTGTATCAGGATTGGTAAAGGGAGGTATTTCGGGTGTGTCTGAATACTAAAAGAGATAAGTAGCCCTTCAGTGTAGGTCCAACTTCGTTTCAAGTCAAATACCAAAATGTCTGTATCATATAGGACTTGTCAGGTTTGTCATGTCAGGTAATGACGGACAGGAAAGGATTTCGGAAATTGAAAATGACATAGTTTTGTATCGTTCATTTGAATAGCTAGTATTTCCTGGCAAAAAGCTTAGTTCTTCTCAGGGAGGACAAAGGAGCATAGATCAAGGAAGCTAGGCAAATTTTGAGGGCATCCATTTGTGATGTGTCACTGAGTTGAACTTAATCCTTCAACCCTAGGCCAATGTGTGGTTTCTAAATTTGGCTTCACACCAGAATCATCTAGAATGTTTGTTAAAAAACACACCTAAGTATATAGCTCACTCTCTGGTAGAGTTCTTGCTTGGCATGCTTCAAGTCCTGGAATGGATCTCTAGCCCTGAAACAAACAAACAAACAAACAAACAAAAACAGATGCGTTCATTTCTAATTCACATTGTAAAATGGAATTAAAAAAAAAAAAAGAGAGAAAACTGTACACACCAATAGTTAGCTAGATCGAACCTAACTGATATAATCTACTAAACTACTCAAATGTCCCCCAATCAATGAAGAAGACTGGGACATTGTGCTTTCAGATTTGCCATATTTTCTTCTTAAATGTGCTGGAGACTGAACTCAGCCCTTGAGTGGAACACACCTGTAAACCTAGTACTAAGGAGGCTGAGGCAAGAGGGTTGTGGATTCAAGACCAATAACCTAGGCTACATAGCCTAGTCCTACATGATAGATAGATAGATAGATAGATAGATAGATAGATAGAAAGAAAGAATTGAGGTAAAAACAGTTCCTTTACCAAAGAAACTGGTAACCAACAGCTTATGAAAACCAACAGAGTGAAAGGGAAACTTTATCCTAAACTTTACTGTTTAAATACCTGTGCACATCTGTAAATTTTAAATGAGTAAATCATAGAGCCATGCTTCACAAACACTAAGCCAGGATTTTTGGAAATCTGTATTTTTAATGAGTTTTTCAGATCATTCTTATGTAGCCAACCCAATCCATTATTAGAGAGAGATTTGGACCTAGGTCATGGGTTGTTGGCAGGGCTTAGGGTCCAGGTATGACTCAGTGGTAGCAGCCTTGCCTAACATGCATAAGGCCTGAGTTCAGTCTCCGGCGCACCTAAGAAAAAAGTAAGGTAAATCTGAAAGCAAACTTTCTCAGTCTGTTGATTGGGGGACATTTGAATTGTTAGTAGATTATATCAGTCAGGTTCTAGCTAAACATTGGACTGCAGCCATTTGTTTAGTTTTATCATAGGAAGGCATTGTTTGTCTCCTAGACCTCCCCCCCCATACTGGCTATTCTTTTGTCCTAATACCAAAAGAAATATTATTTTTAGCTGAAAGACACACTAGAGATTGTTGTTTCATTCATTAAGCAAATACTGAAGGAAGGGCTTAGCATGTGTTAATGTTTAACAGGGGTGTGTAGAACCAACAGAGATATTTGCAGCCATGGAGCTAATTAATGTGAGAAACAAATTGTGATCTGTGCTGAATACCAAGATAGAAAATAATATGAACTCAGTTTTAAATAAGAGTTTCAGAAGCTGTGATTTTTAAGCTGAAAATATAGGATGAGGAAGAAGCAACCATCCATGGAAGGTGATGAGGAAGTTAGATTGCTCTAGATAAGAGGATTGACCAGGCAAGATCTAGAGCAGGAAAGCCTGGCTGTGGAGGGACTAAAAATGTCTCTGTGGAGTGTGGTTGTAAAGGGGGACGTATATAAGCAGGTGAAGTAGTAGACTCACCACCCTTAGCCTTTGGGGCTTGAACCTAGGTACTTCAAGTATACTAGGCAAGTGTCCCATCACTGAGCTACATCCCTAGCAACCCTGTCCCTTTAAATAGATGTGATGCTTTAGAAGACAGCCACACATGAAATTTTACTAATTTGGCACATCCGAGGTTATAGCCTTGCCACAAATTTAATTTTCCCTTTTCCTATATTATTTTATTCCCTTTTACAAAATGAAGGAAGAGTTAGCAAAAATCATAGTCATTACTTTCTAAAGCTTAAAACATTTAGGAAAAGCCAGGTAGGGTAGTTCATAGCACTCTGAAGCAGGGGGATTAGCACAAGTTTGAGGCCAGCTTGGGCTACAGAGTAAGAACCTGTCTCTGAGGAGCAAACACAGGGTCTAGAAGCAGTGAGTTGTTACTGATTTTTTGATTGCTTTGTAGACCAGACTGTCCTTGTCTTTGAGATCCGCCTGCCTCTGCCTCCTGAGTGCTGGGGTTAAATGTGTGCTCAGACAGTGCTCTAGTTGTACTCAGTAAACTCTTCTTTAAAAATAAACTGCTGGATGCTGGTTGTTGTGGTGAACACCTTTAATCCCAACATTTAGAAGGCAAAAACAGGTGAATCTTTGTGAGTTCGAGACTGGGTTGATCTATGTAGTAAATTCCAGAACAGCCTGGGCTATGAAGAGAAATCCTGTCTCAAAAAACCAAAACTAAAATAAGATGAATCAACTGCAAGTAGGTTCAACAGTTATGAACACTTGCTGCTCTTGCAGAGAGTATGAGTTCAGTTCCCGCCAGCCGCATGGGGTGGTTCACAGCTGTCTGTAACTCCAGGTTCAGGGGACCGGATACCCTCTTCTAGCCTTTGTAAGCATGTAGTGTAATACAGACAAGTAGACACACACAAACCAATCAGTCAGTAAACAAACCAAAGGGCTGGAGAAATGGCTCAGCAGTTAACAGAGACCTGGAGTTCAATTCCCAGCACCTACAACCACCACTAAACCCACAATTCAGAGTGATTTGACACCCTCTTCTGGCCTCTGTGGGCACTTGTACACAAATGTAGAAAATACTTTTTACAAAAACAAAAATAACTCCTCCCTCCCAAAAAAGAAATGGAAATAGGCATGTTCTGTTCTTCCCTTTCAGGTACCACCAACCTTAAAGTTGGATATACCCTAATTCAGTTAGTTCCCATATATTGATTTCTCATCCCCAAGTATATTTAAACTTAAAAAAAAAATTGTATGGGCCACCAAGACAGCTCATCAGATTAAGACACTATCCCCAAGCCTGACAAACTGCCTTTGGTCCCTAAAACTTAAGGAGTGAACCAACTTGAGCAAGTTGCCTTCTCACCACCACATGTGCAACACTCTGCGCAAGCACGCACGCACACACACACACATGTAAACGTGTTTACTTATTTTTGAAAAGAATTCTAGGAGAATATAGCAGAGTAGATGAGAATTTGTCACAAACCAACCCTCTGCCCCTTTTCCTGAGTTGCATACACTAGAATCCTTACCACACCTCTGTGAAATAGGTCTTGATATTTGCCCCAAGTCACACAGCAGGTGGTGGCAGAGCTGGGTTACAGACACAGCTTATTTCACCACCGTTTTGCTAATGCCAGCTGTCCAGGTGACTAATGTAAAGTGGGTTCCTTGTTCAAAGGTTTAAAGGTATCCTTAGACAAACATCTCCAGACTGACTAAAAAAAAATCTGGGATGTGTGTGTGTGTGTGTGTGTGTGTGTGTGTGTGTGTGTGTGTGTGTGTGTGTATGCGCGCCCATTCTTCTTTGTGTGCCCATTCTTCTAGCACTGTGCCCATCCCTCTTTGCCCTCTTTCCCAAAGCAAATTCATGTCACACTTTAGTCGTGTAAATTTTCTATTGTAAGATCTTATCCACCAGCTGGAGAGATGGCTCAGTGGTTAAGAGCACATACTGTTCTTGCAGAGGACCTGTTCCCAGCACCCATATCAGCCAACTCACAACTGCCTGTTACTCCAGCTCCGGGAGATCTGACACCCCTCTGATCTCCACAGGTGCACACTTGTACACATAAGTAAGAATAAAGTTACTTTTAGAAATAATAACTTCAGGGCTGGAGAGATGGCTCAGAGGTTAAGAGTACTGACTGCTTTTCCAGAGGTTCTGAGTTCAATTCCCAGCAACCACATGGTGGCTCATAACCATCTGTAATGAGAATAGTACTCTCATATGGCTTGCATGGATGCAGACAGAAAACTGTATACATAATAAATAAATAAATCTTTAAAAAATAATAATAGGGCTGGAGAGATGGCTCAGAGGTTAAGAGCAGTGGCTGCTCTTCCAGAGGTCCTAAGTTCAATTCCCAGCAACCACATGGTGGCTCACAACCATCCGTAATGAGATCTGGTGCCCTCTTCTGGTGTGCAGGCATATGTGGGAGGCAGAACGTGTATACATAATAAATCAATAAAATCTTAAAATAATAATAACTTCCAGACCTTATCCATTTCTTTTCCAGTTCATGATTGGCTTAAATAACAC